CGTCCGATGGAGAATGCGCAGGGTTCGGACTGGGACATCAATCCGCGCCTGGAAGCGTACATCCCCCCGCCGCCTAGGACGATGGAGGAGATTCGACGTGAGGCAGACGAGGCCTTCGACCAGTGGAACCCGAACTGGGATGCTCAACGTGCACGCGAGGAGGCAGAGCTTTCGTCGGACTCTATCCACTTTGGCTACATCCCTCCTTGGCTGCTAGGCAACCTGGTCGATACGTCTTTCAGTGGTCTTTCGGACGTCTCCTCGTCATGGTCTATAGCTAGAGAGGACGCTCCCACGAACGGACCCATAGAGAATGCCACTAGCTCTAGTAGGCCGGCTGAGGTGCGTCCGGAGGCGTGCACCCATCCAGGCGATGACTTTGCGGCACATCTTCCTGCTGTTGACGGCACGCAGGGCACATAGGCCACGATCTCTAGTGACAGTTCTCGACAACTTCGGCAAGCGGTCTGCCTCTCGACTTGTGCTTACTAGGTCGCTGCTCGGCTCTTACGACAAAGCTAGCATACTCTCTCGGCTGAGTGTGCTGCGACCCTTCTGGCTGGCCAGGGTATATTGCCGACGAGTCTGGCGCATTTCGTCTTCGAGGGTGCTCGATGCACTGTTGAAAGGCTTGAGATGTCTTGGACAAACGGTAATTCGGGGTCGACGAGCGCGCGATCCCAATACAGGCAAGTGCTATTGTTGCATCTTGACGGACGATTATTGATACACAGGTTGAAATACAGAGAATCCCAGCTCGGAGCAGACACAGACGGAAGCAAGCCTCGTCAGCATGAATATTGACGGTCGCAGGGCAGGGCCCCTGATGATCATAGGCAAGACTACACTGTAATTGTTCTTACGCCTTTATGCTGGTCTCTCGGAGACCTGCTCGTGAGTCGTTTCTCCCCCCTCCCGGTGCTCAAGGCTGATTTCACTCCATGATTAATGTTGACGCACTGCTGATTGCGTGCATAACACCGGTACGATGACCTTTGAAGCTTGAACCCCTAGGTTGACATGCAGACAACGTCTCTCGCGGATTGAAGAATAAAATGCTTTGGTTTGGGCTGCGAATACATACTCTATGCGTGACCTTAGACTCTACTATTTATGGCTGCCGCAAACAACCTCTGAGGCATGAGGGTACATCACCCCATGTTCCGTGCCGCCTACTAGCAATTATAGCTATCGAATGCATTCAATCATCACTGCTCCGCTAACAGCCCAACCTTTCGCCAATATGCCAACCAGTTCTTGACGTGCTCTGCACCAAGTTGAGATACACTAGGGGCTGACAATGTCGGGGATGCTGCGACAGCTTGGGAGACATCAAGCTGGAACATCCCTACAGACAGCCGACCGACATTGAACTTAGCAGCGAGTCCTCGGTAGAACGGGAGCAGCTGGATCGCGTGCAGGTTCTGCAAGGCTTTACGCGAATCGCTGCCCTCCCTCTCGGCTTGGGAGACGTCCTGCGCGGCCTGCTCGAGCTTGGCGAGCCACTCGTGGTACGGGACAAGAGGTATTGAGAAAGCCTGTGCGACGTGTACAGCAAGCGAGTGCCATGGGACAGGCCGCGGGTGATTGAGGTGGACGACTTTGATATGCAGCGGCGTGTCCATGAAGTCGACCATGGCTTGCGCGGCAATGTCGAGTGGCACCCACGCAACACCCTGAAACATGCGCTAGTGTTGATGAATTAGAACGACTTAGAAGATCCTTGACGTACCCTCTCATCGTCAGGAAAACATCCCAGCTTTACAGCACTCTGAACTATGGACGGAAACCATTCGTGAGCGTTCCACGAGCCTTCCAGAGCACCACAGATCTGTCCAACTCGAACGACCACAGGCTTCAGCGGCGTGCTGGCAGCGGCATTGTATAAGATCTCTTCGGACACCCATTTCGACTCCGTGTAGCCGCTGCCAACGGCGACGTCGGGGTTGATCAAAGCCTCAACTAAATTATCATCACGGTCGATATCTAGGAGGAAGTGAGATGGTCATTAGTCTTCTTGTATCCCTGCCAGGTGATGATGCACCAACTCGTGAAGACACCAATTGAGCTGGTGTAGATTAGCCTTGGGGGTTTTGCCAGCGGCGACGTGAGGGCGAAACATATAAGCGCACGCACGCCGTACACGTTCGACTCGAATGACGCCAATGAAATGCTGAAATCCACACGCCATGCTGGATTGCGACCCTGAGCATGAAAGGAATCACCAGGGTGATCACCACGTACCGTTGTGGATGATATACGTGACCGACGTATGCAACTGAGCTGCTATTAGTGTCGCGCACGTAATCTTCTCAAATGAGACTCACCTCCTCGTAGACTTTCTCTTCCAAGCCGAAATTCGTTGTAGACAAGTCGCCTTCGAGCAGTACCACTTTCTCAGAATTGACAATGCTAGCATCCAGTCCACGATCAACCAACGCAGACTTCTGCCTCTCGTACAGATTTTGACCATGCTTTGCCGGTCGGTTGAACGCGTAAACGCGAGCGACCTTGGGGTCCGCGACGAGCTCCTTGAGCGCATAACATCCAAGGCCTCCGGTCGTGCCAGTGATCAAAACGACCTTGCCCGGTTCCATGTTGGCAGCCGCACTACCCCGGTGTATGGGGAAGTCCTTGCTGTATTTAGCCACCATGGCCCGCATTGCATCAGCGCGCGACGCTGGCTGCCGGTCCTCTCCGTCCGTAGTACCGAGGGCAAGAGCCAAGACAAATGATGCCATGCGCGAGATAGTCGGGTAGTCGTAAACAAAATTGGAATTGACTTTGCGGGTATCGATCTTCGCAGAGTCGCGAAGTACACGGAGGATGGTGTTGCGAATCCAGGTTGCTTGCAGACTGTGCAGCCTGAGTATGGCGCCTGTCGATACAAGAGGTGGCAAAACGTGCTTACCTGTCACAACCGTGTTGGAAAATATCGTCTTCGTCTTTCAGTGGAACAGCGACGAGCTTCTCCACAACTGTACGTATGAATGAAGCGGCCGATCTATCGTCCCAGTGGGCAGGCGGTTCCATGGCCGACTGGGAGCTGCTGTCTACAGCGTCGTACAATGCATTGATTTCTTCCTCATAGTCCTTTATGGCGGGAGCACGACGGACAGTGCCCTTGTGTGTGTAGCTGAATGGCTTCGAGGGTTTGGCGATTAGAATCATCTACTTACAATGTCAATGACCGCTGGTAAAGATTGCACTAATCGCTTACTTCCTTGAAAATTCTAGAATGTTGGGGTGCAAAAGCGTTCATCTTCTCCACAGACGGCCTAGAACATAGAAGCGGTCAAATTCAGAACGTTCAATGCGAAGACACAATTACCATATCTTGTTTCTAAATGCAGCCACGCGAGCGTCATCAGACGAGTCGAGCCTGATTTCAGACCTTGGCTGAACTAGCACGCCAGCTTGAAACCGCCCGCGGCCGAAAATGATACAATCGGACACATCGGGATCCTTCCTCAATATCTCCTCTACAGTGGACCATCAGGATAACGACTACGCGAAGCACTGCAAAAATCCGCACCTAGGGGCCCTGGGTTTGTCTGGATGAATTATTCAGGCAGTCAGTACACGTACTCAGTCGGACCAGAGCGAGACTGGCCTTCTCCCCTGTGCTATGCATGATCTGGTCGTCAGTACGACCCACAATCTTCCAATAGCCGGGCCTCGTCGGATGTGGCATAACGAGATCCGATGTGGCGTAGGCGTCAACCCCATCGACTTGTGTGTTAACGACAGCGGGTCTGTGCAAGTTATTCGCCTGGAGCGATATTTGTGAACTCATATTACAGTGCTCATGGTAGGTGGATTGCTCACAACGACAACAAGTTCATAGGTATTATCGCCCATAGCAAGCATTTCTATCGAGATATGCTTTTGAATCCTGAAGTACTCCCATTCGATGGGAGGTTCGGCTATTTGGCATTGCGATAAGTGAACTATATTGTAAATCAAGACATCATCCCACCTTCGTAGACGATGTTCAACATTCCCGTTTCGGTGCTGGTCGTTCCACCATTAGTGAAGTAGACTCAAGTTACAAGCGAAGGTACATACCATCCGTAAGCATCGTATATATGTACGCCTTTTGACATTAGCATATCGCCGATCTCCTTATTGAGAGGACCGCCGCCAAACGTCTACACAGATATTTCATTTTCTACTGTCTCCTTCGGATCGCAGTGTACGCACCAAGCCCTCGCGGGAGGCGAGCCACTCGACGTATTCTTCATTATGCGCCCATGTCTGGATCTTCTGTCAGGATGACCATCTGATGATGATGAGAAATGACCTACCTCAATAAATGACGGCACGGCCCAAACGAGATCGCAATTCGACGCTTGCAGGGCACGGAATACAAGGTCTGGTGTGGGCACAAGAGGCGGTTGCCTAGGCTCAAAAACAGCAAGTGTTTGACCCGCAGATGCCTGACATTCCAGCCAATTAGTACGGAGGCGGAAGAGAATTGCCAACAAGTACGTACCGCCCACAGTACATTCACAAATGCGAGGCCGTGAAAGAAAGGCAAAGAATGCAGAGAACTAACGAGATCTGTAATTTCTCGCTCGAAGTACCACGGGTAGGTGGCGATTTCTATCAGACGGCGATTGGACCATACTATAGGCTTTGGGAACGCCGTTGATCCTAAATACATGCACACGCAGTTAGCACAGAATGATACGATGCGCGATGATGTAATCCGGTCTCACCAGACGAATGCATAATCATTGTTGGGGCATCAGGATCCCTGCTATCATGTGGCAGCTCTTCGCTTGCAGCTAGGCCATTAGAAGGGGACAAGAACAACTCCTTGAATGTAAATGCGGAAGAGACGCCAGGAATAGTCACAGGCATGTATTGTGTTTTCAAGATATCGAGAGCATCCCGAACAAGGTCGGCGATGCTCTGCTCCTTACTAGTGAGTATGTGCTTCACTCCGGCCTTGTTTAACAAGTGCGCCACAGCGGCAGGTGAGTTCCGGATGGAGAGGGGAAAGACGACGAAGTTGGCACGAATGACTGCCATTTCAGTGATTGCGTACGGAATGGCATCTATCGAAGGGAGCGGTTAGCTTCTATACATTGTTACATGTCCACGGGAGTTGGTTCGTACCTGAAGATGCAAGTAGAGCGATAACCGTCTTGTTGTCGAAGGCTCCTTCGGTGCGCATACGGTCCTTGATCACCTTGGACGCCGTGTACATTGCGGCAACTGCCTCAGACCAAGGTATAGAGCGTATTCCGCCGTCTTCTCGGGCGTAAATAAAGTAGGAGTGGTCAGGAGAATGGACCGCAAGCCAATCCCATATTTCTGGCATGCTCAACGATCCGTCCAACGGAGGAGCGTTGAAGGTAGTACTAGAGAGTGCTTGAGTGCGAGGAAGAAGAGACATGATACGACGAGTGGTTGAAGCTGCGAAAGTGGTGTTGCTTTCCAGGGCTGTAGTAGTCGGCCAGTGGTTTAGTAAGAGATGCAGTGGGAGATGACTGGAATTTATAGCAACTTGGAGATGGCTAAATGCCACATTGTCAGTCTTCCAACACATAAATCATGAACGTGACTCCTGATGACGGCAGCTAAGTGTTGAGCTCAGGCAGCGTAAAGTTCAGCGAAAACAACGAAGTTGGTGTCGGACACAACTTTTGGTTCTGTGAAATTGCAGGACTGGCCGGTCCCAAAGCCATAATGGCCGCGCTAGAAGCAGTATTTAAACGCGCACGGAAAGAAAGATGTCAGCACACTCGGGAACATAGACACGATGTGGACCCTGGTGCTCCAATATTCTGTGTGCAACCATGTGAGAACATCAGAGAATAGATACCCCCAAACACCGTGTCATTTGAGGGTACTCCTAGACAAGTCAGACTTATGACTACGACTATTAAACATCGGACTGAATGTCGTGAGTCCTCATCAAGCAAGCAACACAATTTTTACCAGCATACCAGGTATGGAAATGCTGAGTGATCGGCAATCGCTCTGGCAGGGTGGTGGGTTTGGAAATATGATGTTGTATTCTTCTGAGTCAGTACAGTGCGAGATGACCTATTGTGCATTCTCAGGGTGATGACACCGATCTACCGCCAGGTTACGCGGGCATTTCCAGTTTTCCAGTATGCTAGATCGGCTATCAGCGTTGGCAAATTCAGGTATGATGTTCTGAAGATATGGCGGCGGCTTACAACAAAACCGTAATGATGATGGACCTAGCTTAAAATTTGCAGATAGGCGGCATGGAGCACAGCAGCGCTCGGCACTCGGGGACGTTCCAAAATTTGTCCTTTTGGTGTGCCCCGTCGCTCTCTTATGGCAGAGAGCGACAAACTTTGCACCCCATGACGCGATGCCAGTAGCTTCCTCACTTCGACCGTTAGTCATGATGCTAGACTGCACTGCCGACTCCTGCCGTGAGCTTCTGCCCCGCCTTGGTCGCTGTCGATCGCGGGTGGCTGAGGAATCAGTTGAGGTTGGAAGTACCTACCAAAACGGTTGGCGCTCTGCGACTGCCGAACGAGCGAGCGACACCCCTATTAGATTCTTGAGATGCAGTAGCCCTGCATCTCCCGTGATGCAGGCTGTACATGCTCGTTCGCGAAATTTGTTCTTCGGTCCCCCCCCAGTTCGAGGATCAGGTCAAGATCGTGAAGCATTTGTCCATAATTTGCCTTGAACTTCTTTTAGCACTAGTCACTATCAGCCTTAGTCGAATACACCATTGATACAACTCCAGTCTCCAGATGTCCCTTTGCAATATGGCGGCGACACCTACGGGTATCACTGAGTCAGCAGTCGATTGCCGGTCCTGCTCAGCAAAGTCAAGTCGCCGTGCGATAACGACCCTCTGCGACCCGTGTATGGGAGCCGTTCTATCCCAGCTCACCATCACTCTCCGCGCACTCGACCAGGTCCATCGCCTCATCGCAAGGCAAAACTGCCCTGCCACGGCGCCCAAAGAGGCTCCGCGATCTCAGCCATGTTACAGAGGTACTCATACTCCCGTCCGCCATGCCCGATTGGCTCTCATCAGAAGCTGTCATCTACTTTCTGTGGGTTGTTGTCTGACCTGGATGAATGTGGACGAAGTATGAGTGGGAGGTTTCGCTCTCCCAATGGATAAGAATGCACTGCGAATTGATATGGTGCGTAAGATACATGATTGCGTATAAGAACATATTGCAATGACTATGAGATGATATCAGTTGAGTAAGTCGAATAAACAATGACTACAGTGACACCAGCGATTTTCCTGAGACATCGAAGCAAACCAATGAGCAGTCACAAATCCAAGAGTCCCGGAGCAGATGTGAGGATATGTTGCAAGATGAAAGGACAACATGAAGAAGCGTCGCAGGAGCGGAGACATTAGCGGTACTGTTGAACAAGATGCTCCAGCTCTTCGACGACCTCGGTCATCGAAGGCCTGTCCTGGTGTTCATGTGCCCACATGCGCTCCATCAAATCGACAATCTCAGGGCACCAATGTTTGCGTAGCCCGCTCACAGATGGTCTTGAAATGATGTCATGAGTATCATGCAGCATCGTAGGTATGGGTAATGCGCACCTTTGCCGTTCGGCACCAACTGTTTTATAGATCCCGTGTTCGTTTTCACCCTACAGGAATGTTAACATATGCCCCAATGTGTAATGAACTTGCACTTACTTCCCACGGGTATTTCTTGTTCTGAACATGCCATTGGAGCATCTCCCAGTAGACCATCGCGCATGAAAACACGTCCACTTTATGGTTGTACTTGGGATGGGCATGCCACAACTCAGGAGCTTGCCAATTCACTGTGCCGACGACACTGCGCATCATGGAACGCGTTGACTGTTTCACCTTGGCCAAACCGAAGTCTGTGATCTTTGCAACGCCTTTGGACGTAATAAGAATGTTGGAAGACTTGCAATCTCGATGAATCACAGATGGTTTGCGCGTATGGAGGTATTCCAAGCCGCGAGCGATGTCGAGCATGATTGACAGCTGGCAAAGGTGAGATTCGATAGGTTCAGCAGCGATGCGGGCTCGACTTACAACTCGATACAAGGAGGGGGGATTGACATTCCGGATGTAGTCGAAGAGATCACCATTCGAGCAGAGCTCGCTCACGATCATAACCGGTGTATCTCGCGTGTTCTCTGGAATACTCACACCCAACTGCATGTCGCATGAGATATGGGGGGTGCAGAAGAAAGGCTAGGACACGTACAAATCGAACGATATTCGGGTGATTAAAGTCGCCAAGCAACTTGAGCTCTTTAATGTCCACTAAGCTATGTCAGTCGGACAATCACAAAAAGAGGCCAATGTCGCACGCACTTGCACTTAGCTGACCCCGGAACTCAGCGATTGCAACCTTGCGACCCTTGAACTTGCCAATGTAGACGTCTTTGAAACCTCCGCTGCCGATTTTCTCTAGTTTCGTGAGTTTCTCAGGTGGAATCTCGCGGTCTTCGAGGCCCAAGCTCTCCAGGTCAAGCTCAAGCTCGGGTTCGGGTTCCTTCCGGCGTCCTGAAAGCGGCGGCGTCCGAGGCTCGTCAAGATGTATCCGTTCGGATCGAAGAAGCACGGGCGGCGTCTGGCTAGTACTCTTGCTGCGACTCTTTCTACAGGGGCGGCCTTTAGGGGTCACAGGGCGCACTGTACCTGTAGAGGAGGGTGAGCTGCACCGACGATCTCGCCATTGCAGTAGCGCCTTGGCAAGCTGAGGTTTAGTGCCTGTTGCATCAAGTTCACGAGTCTCGCAGAGTCGGACTAGGTCATCCCGACGTAATCGTATGAGCGTCTTCTTAGTAGCAACGGTGAGATCGACTGAGACAGGGATATTAGTCTTGAAAGCTGTTCGTTAAATAACCACTCACTATCGTCATCCATAGGCTCATCCGCCTCTTCCACATCTTCTTCTACGTCTTCCACGTCTACATCCTCCTCTGTTACAGTGCTTTGGTCTTCCTCGTCCTCGTCCTCGTCATCCTCGTCCTCGTCGCCGAGGGACTCTCCGTCGTCTTCCGTGACGACCTTACCGCTGCGTAATTTGCGAGGTGTTATCAGAGGAGGTGAGTCGACTCCTTCAGATTCTTCGCTAACGGCGCGTCTTCCATCGTCTCCCTCGTTCTCCCCATCGTAACCATCCACACTGCCATCCACCACTTCATTCTCACTCTCCTCATCGTCACCGTCGCTCGGCGGAGTATGTGTCTGTATCTGTCGCGGGCGTAGTCTCTTCTTAACTGGGGTACGTAGGCGGGATGGTTTCGGCGTGACCATTTGCGAAGGCGAAGGCGAGTCTATCAGCTGATCGACTTCCTCGTCTTGGTCTGTCTCGCTGTCGTCCAGTTCATCTTCTTCATCCTCCTGCGAATCATCTTCTCGAAGGGCCCCCACAGGAGGCTTCGCCTTACGAGTCGGTACGACGCGCCTCCCCAGCTCACGATCAACCTCCGCTTTCTGAATGGTTTTTCGGCCATCAGGTCGCTCCTTCTCCCCCTTACTACGCAGGCGGCGCGGACTCGGTGAAGTGCTCGCGATTGATCGCTCGACCTCGGTGAGGTCGGTGAGGTCACTATCGTCATCGAATGGGGTAGAGGCCTTGTACTGTACTTGATCGTCGAACTCCACCTGTTTATTCTTTCCTTTGCCCTTAACGTCGACAGATGCAATGGATACAGGTTTTTCCTGCGACAACTTGCGATGGCGAAGACGGGTCACAGGGGGCGATGGAAGGGATGAAACAGCGGTAGATGGAGACTGAGACGATCTGCTTGAGCTGGCATTGCTCGCGCCCCTTCTAGTATCATAAAAATCAATGAAAACAGGCACGACTAATCTGGTCTCTCACCTGCGTGTCACAGGTCCACAGACGTGTGGTGTGAATACGTCCCTTGCTGTTTTGGCCCCCTTCAAAGAACTGCCACTGCGGTGGTCCAGCTGACCCATGGAAACACAGCGATCGGCAGGTCGTGCACGGGATGTACGACTCATATCAGCGACAGTAGCCCGCCGGCGCAGTGATTTACTGCGCACACCGAAGTCGGTCTCTTCGCCGCCAGCAATATTGCCCCCATCGGATGAACATTCGCTGGAGTTACTGTCGGCCACACCGGGAGAGGACGGCGGTAGTGACACAGTATCATCACGCGCAGCAATTAGGCAATCGACGATTTCGGGCTTCGTCAAAAGCTCCGCATCTTCGGAAAGGCCAGCGGCGACATATAGACGAACGAGTTCGTCCTTTCGTAAACGCAAGAGTTGTTTGGGAGGAGCGTCGTTGATCAGATAGCTATCGGCTGAGAAAGGGTTTACTGACATGTGCAATTGAAAACGTGCCGTACTTACATGAATCCAGAGCGGGTTCATCGTCGGAATTGTCCGAAAGTTCCCAGTGCTGGTGATCGTCAACTTCCATCCCACTCGCTATCTCATCGTCACTGGACTGAGGCATGGCCCTCCGTCTCTTGACCTTACCGAGCCCGCTACGCAGCCCCCTTCCTGCAGAAGTGTTTTCGTTACCACTAGCAATGCGCTTCCGTTTGACGCCCGCCTGATAGCTGTCAATCTCGTCGCGCATTCTTTCTTGATCCAGGTCGGGTCGTGAGCGCCGTGGATTGAAGTGTAGGGGCACAAGGACAGGTCTATGCGAGATGGGCGGCGAGCTGCCTGACGCGATCGGCGAGTGTGAGTCGAAACTAGACGGTAGGTAGCCGTTTGTGTGAGTAAAGACGCGTCTACGAGTTGCTATGACGCGTTTTGACTGTAGCGTCTGGCGAGTCGTTGAAGAAATGTCCGTGATCGAAGGAACTCTATGTTTTGTGCGTCGCTGCTGTGCCATACTCGCATGTGCGAGTCACGTCCCAGAATTGTCTAAGCTTTGGAAGCCAGCGTGGTAAAGAGTCGCACGGATGCAGATGCAATGGCAGTCCTCACAGTCCCCGAGGGCGATAGCTGGATAGGGATGCGTCGTCGTCGCCGCCGACGTCGTTGACGCTGGAGTGGTTTGAACCTCAAAACAAGAACCAAAGATGGACAAACAAACCATGATAGCGCCGGCGCTTAGGTCACGCTTATGCACGATCACGCATAATGCACGTGCGCACTTCATCTGAGTGTTTAAGCATCTCTTCAAATAATTCATCCATTGGATTAGAGCAAGTACTGTCATTGTATTGCAAAACATCATCCCGCATACTCCTTTCGTTATCTAAAACAGAATCTGATACTTGGATTGTAACGTTTATGACATTCTAATCGGTACGTTTTACAGCTTTGCCACTATCTTCCTCAAAACAGCTTTCTGTATTTTTCCTGTTGACGTTTTCTTTCCAACCGATGATCAGCAACTGAAGATTTATGGTCGCGCCCGATGTATGAACCTACCGGGAGTTCTGCCACAACCTCTACCCATTCGGGGCATGCAAATCCCGGAAGGCGACCACGTGCATGCAATTTCAGCGACTCTGCAAACGTAGCGTGCCGACCATCCCAAAACGAGGCACGTTGCGGGTGCAAAATCACGAATGCCATAGGGCGCTCGCCCCAGCGCGGATGAGGTCTTGCGACGACGGCGATCTCCAACACATCGGGATGACTAGCTAGCTCTGCACCAACACATGTGAGCGGTGTTTTACCATCTAACAAAGGCTTTAGACAGCGAAATTAGTTCGTACCTTGCTCGATGGCAAGACTGGACGCGTTCTACATTACATCAACCAACAAGGAATAGTCTCCTGAACCAAATTACCCACCTCTCCTCCAGATATGATGATATCCTTGCTTCTGTCCTGAATGGCGATATATCCGTCCGAATGCATAACCGCCAAGTCGCCTGTGCTGAAATATCCCCCTCGGAATGCCTTCCTTGTTGCATCGGGATCTCTGAAATACTGCAAGGTGATCAGCTGCCCTTGTCTTTTCGCTCTGCATTGTGGAGACATATCACGAACCTCCTTCATGACCATCGTGCCACGCAGAACCACCTCTCCTACAGTCTTCCCATCCTTTGGTACGTCGACTAATTCCATGTTGACGTCATCTTGTTCATCTTCTTTAGGCGGATAGACAACGCGCACATCATCTGAAATCGCATAACTGAGACCTTGGCGTGCCATATATCTCGCACGCTGATCGAGAGGTAGAGAAGCCCATTCCACCTGTTCGTAGCACCTTGTGAAGGGGCCATAGGTCTGTGTTGTCATTAGTGAATATCAAATATGACTCTAGCGCATGAATACTCCACACTTCACTGTAGTTAGGAGCCCGTAAGAAGTCGGTTGAGCGGCAGACGATATAGCAAGGAGTACGACGTACGTCAAACCGTAGACGTGGACTGGATGAATATTCTTTTTCTCTAGCTCGCCGAGAAGATGGGCGGTAGGCGCCGAGCCAGCAACAATAGCAACAACAGGCCTACTCAGCAGTCTAGCATCCGGTGCATTGACCAAGCCGATCTGTCATATATTGCATTCTGTTTGAATGTGTGCAACAATCAAACGTCAAAAACACGAACCTGTACGGTAGGCGCACCACAGTAGTGTGTCGTTCCAGAATATAAAAGATGATGCCAAATGTGGGGGTATGACACTTTCCTGAGCGTGATCTAATCCCTTTCAGTCTGCAGGAATTCGCGGGCTAAAGCTGCATACTACTCACCTGTGTCGCGCATGCAAACGTGATAGCCCAGGGGAACGTCCAACCACATGCATGAAACATAGGAAGGATCCTTCGCCAAGAGTTAATACCTCGAACGACATCTAATTCGAAACGACTTGCCAGAGATACGTGGAATCTCGAGTGACACTGGTTCATGTCAGACTATATGCGCCCAGAACGCAATACAGGACGTACTGAGTTTCATGAGCGTTGGCGATTCCGGTGAGATATGCTCCTGGTAACTTAATTTAGGAACAATAATGCCCATGAATTTCGGTCCACTCACCTCGAAGCGTGTATACGACACCCTTCGGCTACATGCGGATTAGAAATAGATTAGAGGCGACAAACTGTGTATGCTAACCCGACCTGTCGTCCCGGACCTGAGAAACTCGCGTCAAGAACCGCTTGCGTTTTACGGTATGAGCAGACCTACGTGTAGCACAATGCAGCAGGTGCATTTTCATCCGCCTCCCACTCGAGGCCGGGCCAACCCCTGTCACCGCTGTACCGTCTCCCATTGCTCAAGAATTGTTCGTATGGGTCGTCGGCTCTCCCTGAATCGTTCGCAACAATGACTGGAATTCGGGCATCCTGCACGAGATGCGCCAGTTCGTGGTCGACCAGAATGAGCTTTGATCCGCTATGTTCCAGAATATAGGCCACTTCCGGCGTTGTCAGACGCGTATTGATCGGACAAATGACAGCGCGGGCAGCGAGGACACCATGGTGAGCGTCTAAGAGGTCGTAAGTACAAAACATGACTTCAGCGGGAGAAGACAAAGACCGGCTATCAACGGTCTATTCAGACATCAGCAGACGTTTGTGCAAAAGAGGGAAGACGTCGCTGACGAATTAGGAGCGATTACAGCCACACGATCTCCGGGGCAGATCCCGAACTGGATTAAGGCGTAGGCGAGATTCTGAACGCGTTGGGTCCTGAGTTCAATAGTAAGTGATGTTCTATCCAAGTTTAGTGGGAGATTGCTGACCAAACTGCGTAAGAATAGAACACAGGATGATCGACATCAGGATGCGCGAGAGCCAGCTTGTTTGGGTAGACTTGCGCCGCTTTCAGTAGAAATGCCAACGGATTCTATTTACCACGCGGATACCTATCAGTGCCATGCGAGTGAATGTATGCATATACCCATACGAGTGGTTGCTTGTCTACAGGAAGACCACCGGGTAGCCGGAGTCTGTAGTTCACATTAGCAGGAGGGACACTCTCAGCCGTGGGTCGAAACGATCTCATGGTATCTGTAAGATAGTCAATTAGAGCGTAAATCCATTCCAGACAAGCGTTCCACAGCACCTGCTAATGTCATAGTGAAGCAGTGTCTAAGTCGAGCAATTCAATGCGGGTAAACTGTGGTGCGACGTATCGACGGCTAAAAGCTAGCAGTAAGGGGGCTCCGGAAGGCTTATCCATTACTACTGTAGCAAGTGACGGGATGTCACCATCTCAGGTGATGGTCAGAGAGTTCGCCGGCTTCGGCCATCCGTGTTATTCCTTGATGTGCGCTCGTTCTGTGCTGTGCACCATGATTCTTCAGGTACATCGCAACAAAGTGCCATTCTGGCCTCTACGAGTGCAGCTCAGCATTATCGATAAATAATGAATATGAACTTTGCGCACTCTGAGGACTTACGGACGCATTACCGCCGGTGGCTGAGCGCTGAGGCCCGATGGTAGCCAATGGGGGTCGTGTGGCCAGTGAACTGACCGGCGCGTGACCAACACCATGGAGCGCTCCGGTCTCGTGTTCGGCTCTCATGGCAATTTGAATCCATCACGGAGGAGAGGAAGGTCACGAGCCTATCCTCATTGAGGTACTAACAAACCGCCTAAAATGGCAGGTCAAAAGGGAGGTCATCTATAGTTGCCCAATTGAGCAAATGCTTCCGCGCGTCTACCACTGCCAGCACCTATTGTCCTCCTTTTCAAGCTACACACCTTTGCCTTTGTCCACATCTTTTCTCTGATGCATGCCGCGCAAATACACGCATTGTTACAAACTCATCGCTCAGAAAATCAGAGAAAGTAACAAGGAGAAATGAGGAGGACATTGTGCAGACGCTGCACGAGCATCTAGACCGGGGAAATGCCGTATAGAAAGGTCTATCATCCTCGCTTATCCAGAGTCTATCCCATGTAAGCAATTACCTTACAAATAGAAAGGGAAAGCCCATCATGACATGGCCTATAGAATCCCGTGCACCGAATGGCACAAGTATTCGCATTCCCGCGCATGTAATCGCTTGAAGCTTCTTCGCGTGGTCGTACCCATTGTGCATACTTAACTATAGCGATACGCCTGGCGCCCCCGGAGTGAACCTTGCGTTCGCTATATTCCTCGCCGTCCTCCGCCATCGAGCACTCTTCCGCCCACAACAAAATGCTGCTCCAAATATCACACACAGATATTTTGCGAACCTCGTTTGTTGATTGCGCCACGGGCGCCGTAGCCTTTCGCACCAATACGTACCATCCACAACGCGCTCGGTCAGGCTCTTGCTCCTCTGCCAGCTCTTCCAGCTCTAGCGCATTGCAGGAACAGTTATCTGGAGACAATAACGTAGATCGAGTGACGTCCTTGGAGGACGCGTATGGAAATATTCTCGCTGAGATCACCTGGGATGGCGCGAATGCGTCCCTCATACGCGTCGGGGACGACTTGATCAAGGGCACCGCAGAACTCTTCGATGCTGCGTTCGTAAAGATATTGTAAGTGTCGTGTTCTGAGCGTCCTTACAGAGAGAGGACTAAGCGTGCTGCAGCCCCGACGCCACTCTCTTCCCCACTCGGCTGGAGTATACGTGGCGAATGACTCGAGACGATCTCTTGGTATGTCTGATTATCTCACTTTATGGCTCATGCCCTGATATCCCTGTACAAGCTTCTGGATGATGACGAAGAGGTCGTCGGCAAGCTCCATCAAAATCAAATTCAAGACGATCTAAAACTGGCGCCTGCGCCATCCTCAAAGATTGGGCACGATTACCTGGAGCTGAATACGCTTCCAGAAGACGAGCTTCCAGAGATGCTCGGTGTGTCATCTATCTTTACGCGCTCAAGACTTTGACTGAATTTCTCTCGTTCTGTAGTTTGCTACCTCCTTCTATGCACACTTCGTGAACGCATGTACTCCATCACCCGATTTGTCTATGGCCAGCCACAGAAAACCGATCCAATCGCGAAGCTCCGACGGGGTGCGACCCGTAGCATCGCAAACCTGCGCAACCGGTTCCGTCGTCGCAAGGCGCCAAATCATTGACTATTTCCTTCACGATCGCGCTATCCCCGCTGTGAATGACTCCCAGACGCTCTCCATTCCATCCGGCCGGATACTTTCGTTCACTTATCGCATATTGTTATTCGCGTTTGTACCTCCCATCACGCTCATTGCTATATCGCGCAATGCGCGCACTCTTTATCGATAGGCTATCTCCCAGAGTCCACACTCTTTTATGACGGACACGACGCAGTTTAACGTAGAGAATCGAAGGTTGTACAACAGTGTATCACGGAGAAATCAATCTAGACCCTTGAACGGAACGCCCGAGTCTTGACTTTCAAATTGTTGGTGTTCATCTTCGGTTCGCGGAAGTGTAGGATGACTCGATCCTAAGAATATCACTATCACAGTGGCGCTGGGATTGGTGGACCGTCTCTGCGTCAGAATATACACGAACGTTCCACAGTTTATGCTCTGGCGGCAACATCGTCGCGGGTTCTAGTTGATAATAACCAGAACTCACCCAGATTACTGGATACTCGAAAGCCGTCTATAGGTGCATGTAGGTGCGTGGAATTCTGAAGAAGCCGTGCGATGATAGGTTGCGCGGACCCGGGTAACCTCTAATGACCATGTAGGATGACACGAATGCAGGCGCGATGAGCGAAGCCTGAGTCAGAATGACACCGAGACTGTCAGCAATAATGTCCGACTGGCTTACAGATTCTCGCAACGTTTCACATCCTGCAAGTGCAGACAGAAGGACGGTTGCTTCTCCTCATCCATAATCTCCAGGCGTGCCTGGGCTCGCTATCACAGTTCGCAGTATCAGCACCTCTTCCATGAATGTCACTCACACTGTGAAATGAGGAGCCGTGGGCAACGCTATCCTGCATGGGGAACGCCTCCAACCGAACGGGAGCATTTCGATACGTCGCAGACTTCGTAGACATTGGCATGAAGTGCTGAAACGCTGGTTATCGTGTTCTTGCTTCCCAGACTTTCTCTGGAACCTTTGACGTACCCATGTCATGTAGCCATTACATACTCGAGAGCCCTCGTCGCGAATCATCCCCACAAGACGGATATCGTAGTAGTGGCGTCTTCTGATGGATCAGGTCATTCAGCAGGCGCCTGTGTAACGGCTATCGAAGGATGCAACGACAGTTTGATTGAGGTTTAACAGAGCATTGGGTCATTGCTGCTTCGACTAAGGGTTCATCCCTTCGTGGCACACCGGCATGTGGGGCTGCGGCTGATGAGCTTTGAAGTTTGTGGGGAGGGGTTTGTGCGGGGTGCCGATTTACCTCGAAGACGCTGCTGGAAGGATACCGCCGCATGTGAGTCCTGACGCGCATGAAACAGAGCCAACGCTATAGAGTTGGGACCTACCAAATGGGCAATGAAGCCTTGCATTTGGTGCCCTCCGATCCCAATCAAGGCGAAGCATTGCTGAGTCCGGGGGTGACAGTCTAGATCCCCGCCCGGGGACCCGCGTAAAGCCTGCTGGGCGACTCAATGTCGCGCTTCGTCCCATGCAGGCCTTCCTTTCTCCGTACCTGTCAGGCCTTCGTTTCTCCGTACGTGCCAGGCCCGCGGGGCGTAGAAGGGGTGGCCGTAGAAGAGTATCTGCGCCAAGCTTATTGGTCAGGCCGACACACGCTTCGAACGCCACAGCGCAGCGGCAAAAGATGCGAAGGAGTTCCTGCATTCCGTCGGGGTTGCGTGATGCCACATCGTATCTAACGAAGGGGCAAGAAGCATCAAGTCGACGTGCGTTCGAGCGCCACAGCTCCGAGGCGCTTGGAACGCCTGGATGTTCCATACCCTACACCGAAGCAGCATGACAGCGCCCTGGTACTGGAAAGTGGCTGCAACTGTGTTTATGCGATCTGCGTTGTCGTTCCCAGGCGCAGCCCGTGGCCGAGGGTGCCTTCGAATCAATTGGAGACTAGCCCGTCAGCCACGACGGGCTTGAGAGCGCTGCGCGGTTGCGCTGTTGGAGCGGGACGGAGACTTTCGCCGCGTTTGGGGGAGAGCGTGCTACGCACGCAATAGAGTGCTTGAAGTCCAATTCGCTGGCGTCCTAGGCTAGCGTTTTCGCGGGCAAGATACGCAAACGATTCCTCGGACATCTAGAATGCAACGCGCCCAATATCAGATTATAGGAAGGATCGCACCGAGGTTGTGGAATACACTTACACCGTCGTCTCTTTGCTTCTGCGTCTCGACGCTGTAGTCTCCCACAGGGCGCAATTAAGGCTACTGGGCCTGCTATTGTGGAGTATGGCGAGCGTCCATCAGGCCGCGCGGTCTGCGATAGAATTGCAGCATCCCGTTCATCTTGCCAGTCTGATGGAGTAGGAGCTGTCGGTTGCTTGTGTGGATATTACGCACATCAATACACAACTGGCGGGTACGCTCCCGCAAAGGGTAACGTTCGATTTGTCGAAAGTCGAGTCCCCGAACTCTCTTCGACACGTGGCAAACCTGCCGATGCATGGGAGCAAAAGAGGGCTTCTTAGATGCGTCTGCAAATCCAAGGATAGGAATCACATTGATTGACACCGGTGGCGGAAGGACATACTCGCCCGGCGTGCGCTGACATAAAACGAAAATATCCCTTCTTGTTTGATTGGTAACGGTATCCAGACTGCGATGCGCAGTATGTAGTGCACTGAATGCTAGGATGGTAGACGGGCAGCGTTCTGATATTGCAAATGTCGTATGCATAGAAGCGATGTCAAACGCGGGGATCCAGAAGAGTTCTGTATTGTGAAGCGATACGCACCTCTGACATATTCGTGCTTGCCCCCGCATTCCGTTGCGATGAAGGGTTGAAATTTCCAACTGTCTACAAGATGACGCAAGATGGACCTTGCGTAGTCATATCGGGAGACTGGCCTCATCTACTATCGACTTCTGATGCAAATGACGAGGACAAGATTGCTCTCGCTAGCACACGCAAGATCCGGCCGAGCTGCATCGATGGTTAGGGGGAGCCTGGACAAGGGGCGGCCGCGTAAAAGTTAAAAACCGGTGGCCTCATGGTGGTATGACTAGCAAAGGGTGTTGGAGGATGCGGCTGGCTCGACGCAGATTTGCATCCTCCGCCCTCCGAGTCGGAGGGTGTTTCAGGGAGACGACGTGCAGGCTGTGTAGACGATTGCTGGTTGCCTTTGCGAGGAGGGCGGTGTCAGAGTTGTACCGAAATGGGGGAAAGGAACAGGTGAAACTGTCTGTTTCAGTGTGCAAACAGTATGTACTGGCACAGCACGAAATATTGAAGATATGGCAGGCCACATCTCCGATCATCAAGCAAATCGGCGCTTGTCTGCCTGTGCAGGAAATCAATTTCGCTCGTTCCTGACGCGAACGTTGGCTTGGGCACAGACTAGTGTCTTTCCCAAGATATCCTGGCAAAACACCACCCGTGCACAGCCAGCACCCGACACCGACGTATGTAGCGCCCGAATGTCGCCCTGGAACACTTGTCGGCTACACCAATGATGACTGGGTTCACATCGGCGCTTGCGATTTCTTCTTCTTCTGCAGGATTGTGAAGTCATCCTACCTTCTCTTGATCCCACCCGAGACTCGCATTCTAACCTATCTTTGACAACACCGGCCGCTTCGCAGGGGCGCTGAGAATGGTCCTGGACAGCCGCGAGGCAAACTTCCTCTGCAGACGCTGCATCCACGTGGAATTCGTCGGAGGTGGCAGACGCACACGGTCCCGCGCCAGTCGCATCCACAGGAACCGCCGTCCGACGGCATGCCATTTGCTCTGACGCACCGCGAAGATTGGGTATCAGTCTTGCTTCATGTCGCCGGCCTCCCTCCATTGCGCACGGGCGGATCATCCGCCTCCGAGTCACCTCCGCCCAATAATAGTTGATCCGAGCATTTGTATAAATTCTCCAGCCTGTCTCCACCACAAAATCACCAATCCCCGCCCCAACACAGGTCTCTACCAGGTCTACATTAGCTCCCCGACCTAGAGTGCACCCCCACAACTGTCGGTCCCGATCAAAAACATACCACACCAGGAGTGTTGCTTCATCTTCCGCTACCATTGCCACTTCGCCTAGCACAGTCATGTCGAGCCCCAGTTCATCGCAGGTTGATCTCTCGCATCACCTTTCTGCAGAGGCCAAGCTTCGCCGTCCGAATCCCATGAAAGAGATTTGGCGGCTTGCGAGGCGCAAGCCCAACATGGTGTCCCTCGCCAATGGTACGCCTCAGTTACTGCCACCATCTTCACGTACGCTAACGCCACCCCAGGCGACCCGCACTCCTCCCTATACCCCATTAAAAGCATGCAATTTGAGGTCGCTTCCGTCGACGAGAAAGACCCAGTTGCATCCTGGCGCACCGCGGGGCCTAGTGCACGCTCTCAGCGGCTCATCTCCACCCGTGATGGGCCTTGCGCACTCCCCGTAAAAACTGCCATGCAGTACACGACAGGCGCGGGGTTGCCAGAGACGCAGTGTGCGCTCACAGAACTCACCAAGTTCTACCACAACCCTCTCGATCACACCGTGACTCTCACACTCGGCAACGCCGACGCAGTCATTAAGTGCTTCCGGCTGCTAGGAAACCCGGGGGACCACTTCCTCGCGGACGAGTTCACGTTCAGCGCGTTGGCGAATGCAGCGCTCCCGCAGGGCATAAAGTGGGTGCCCGTGCGGATTGACGACGGCGGCCTGATCCCGGAGGAACTGGAGCGCATCCTGTCGACCTGGGACGAGGCGCGGGGACCGAAGCCGCACGTTCTGTACACTGTACCGTGAGTAGTATCATTCATATCTTTGATTACAACTCATCAACTTCCAAACAGATGCGGGCAGAACCCTACAGGTTCTACGCTAACCGTGGAGCGGCGCAAGCGTATCTACGCGCTCGCACAACGGCACGACCTCATTATCATCGAGGACGACCCGTACTATTTCCTGCAATACTCCGCACCCGCGTCTGCCGCTCCGGCGCGCACCCTGGCGCCGTCCTTCCTCTCGCTCGACGTCGACGGACGTGTGCTGCGCGTCGACTCCTTCAGCAAGATCATCGCGCCGGGCATGCGCCTCGGCTGGGTCACCTCCTCGGCCTTCTTCCACGCGCACCTTGTCTCCTACACCGACTCCTCCACGCAGCACCCGCACGCGTTCGGCCAGGTCTTCGTCACCGAGCTGCTCGGCCCCGCGGGCTGGACCCTTCCCGGGTTCGACGCGTGGGTGTGCGGGCTGCGCGGGGAGTACCAGCGTCGGCGCGACTACTTCCTGGCGCTGTTCGCGCGCACGGTGGCGCCAACGGGGCTTGCGGAGGCGCGCGCGCCCGCAGCAGGCATGTTCGTGTGGGTGCGGATACACGTCGAGCGGCACGTGCGGTTCCGGCGCGAGCGCGCGATCGGACGCGGGCGGCGCACGAACTGCAAGCAGTTGATGGAGGAGCTGTTCGAGCACTGCCTGGACGGCGGGCTCGTCGTCATGCCCGGCTCGGTGTTCGTGCTCTCGACGGACCCGGAATACGACTCGCCCGAGGGCTCCATTGAGGACGTGAGTGCACGTTTGCCTTTCGAGGAGATCGATCATGTGCTCATGGATTGGCTGCAGCGCATGAACTACTTCCGTCTGACATTTGCGGGCACAGAGGAGGCTATGGAACAGGGTTTGACAATTTTCGGCGACGCTTTGCAGGAGTTCTTCGCAGAGCCGGCGAGCCGGCTCATCAAAAGTGAAGATGTCTTCGACTCGTGAGAGCACTTGTTTAGAGGTTGCAACACCGTCTAGAACTTGCACCTATTTATCCCATCCTGGTTATGATGTCGATTAGAGGTTCCGCGTTAGTAGAGCAGTGGGTGCGAACAATATAGTTATCCCCATTTATATCGTAGAACAATCCTGTAGACTGTCATTGTAGCAATCAACATCGCCCATTATGTAACTTGACCGCGATGATGCCTCCATCAACATACTCAAACAAGATCATGCACAAGGCCAGCATCATCTCTGCGCATTCACCCTGACTTCGGAGGAGAGACGAGTTATATGTAATTGAGTATAAGCCTTACAGTATCGAAGTGAGATAATGCGACTTACAAGGTCTCAGACAGACCAGCATAAGACTCCGGACCACTTCAGGAGTTCCGCGTACAGCCTGAGCAAGTAGGAGCATCTTGCCTTTCGCGGCTAGCTCGACACTATACGTTGTGTGCCCTCGCTAATGGTTTCTTTCAAGCGTGCCCTGCAGAGCTTGTGATCTGTATTGAAATGGTGTGCTCCTCGACCCCATATTATTACCGTTCACACTAGCAACATGTCAAGACGTCCGACGATGCATTAAGCATCCCCGAAGACGAGATACGTCCGAACTATTGGTGATACGCCTATACCAGCTAGCAGCGGTAACATAGTGCGCGAATCCAGCACAATCAACCCAGAGCACGCCAGAAAAAACCCTGACCGAGGATTTAAGCCAGACCGCTCGCAAAAGGTGTCGAAAATGCTGCCAAAGATTGCGCCCTCCGGGCCGTCAACAGATGAGACTCGATGCGACGCAAGATCATCAACATGCACGGCGTACGCCTCCGGACGCACGTCAGTCGCCCCATCATAGCCACCGCCTGCCGAGACATATATGATCATTCATTCCCTCCGCCCTCGGCCTCGGAAGTTGCGGCGACCTTCAGGGCCTGGCCTTGACGATATACAGAAGACGTGCAAGATCATTGTTGATGCCCGCGGATCGGGGAACGTCCACCGTGGCCAGGTTGAACCAGCCGGTTGCTGGCTTCCTCCGTTAAGAGCGCGAGGTGATTCCTGACATTTGTTGGCCGCAGATTGCATCCTTCCTATGAGTCCAGACAAGGTATTTCAAGGAGGCTTATCTTTCAGTGCTATGTGTTCACTTGGATGTCCTCGTCCTGGCAGCACGAAGTCATACCCGTTGACACTCACGTCCACCAGATTGCGATGAAGCACTTTGGCATGAGCGGCTCATCGAATTTCAAAATGGCCATGAGGCCCAAGCTGTACGACGAAGCGAGCAACAAGTTTGCAGCCGTGTTGGGCATGCGGGATGGGCGCACTCGGACCGGACCATATCTCGCTGACTGACGTTAAGCTCCACAACTCACGTACCTTCTTAGGTGCTCTCTACGTCCTATCTGAAATACTTTGCTTCCTACCATCGCCATCCTTGTCGCCATCTGTGCGAATTGTGACTGACAACGTGCGCGCAAAATGAAGCAAACAGAGATCATGGCGCCTCCTTCCACGCCAGCCTCTACACCACCGAGAGGGGAGCGGAAGCGAGATCAATCCGCGTCGTCTTCAAACAAGGTCGATTTGACCCCCACCACGGAAACACCACACGGTATCATGACTCAGGAGTGTTCTTCATTCCCTCTATATACGCTCATGGAATATCATGGCGTTTCGTGCCTTTCATCACCTTGTTACTGTTTTTCGCATCGGTCTATCAGCTGCATCTTCGCAAGAACTAATATTCAGCAATGAGATCCACGCTGTGTCAACCAACCCTAGATCGAGAAGTCTAGGATACTTTCACGCTATACGTTGTGCTTACGTACCATGTCCATCACTGATGGGACCGCAAAGCAATTCTGGTGCGATTTTATCCTTCTCTGTTGGAGTCACAGCACTGACTAAGCATATGAATTGGATAGACTGCAATCCGGTGAGCAAGACGGAGTTGGCAGAACGCACTCGGCAGCACTATAACTCGTATGAACAGGAACAGTTGCACATGCGCTGACCCTCGGACTTTTAGCATATTGCCGAAATGAGCGACGGACATTTGTGTCTCTATCAATATACACATTCTCTGGCGCTTAAAAACTTCATATCCTTGTGAAGTGTCCGTCCGCTTGTGCTCAATTTATGGGCTTCCATTCATGGATATAACCTGCCCATGCTACAATCATATGCATTGGTAGCAACGGCCTGGATTATGCTGACACCGGACTGGTGCGTCTCGCACTCTTTGTCATTGCGACATGGAAGTCCTTTCGTTCAGCCAACTTTGTAGAAGGGTGGAGTGCTGGTGTCCGAGCTCTTGCACAGGCTCTTCCCACAGTTTTCAAGAGCTGGGATTATCTATAAAGCCGGTATGGCTAACTGCGAATCCCTCGTATCTGCTGTCTTTTCCTCCTCTTCAGAAGACGCTTCGATATACTATGAGCAGCATACAAAGCAATACTTTGTGCGTCTCTACAATTCTTTCTCGGCTGACAAGGTTGATCATACTATACTACCAGCTCTCAAGGGGTGTTGATGAGCCGCTACCTCTTCTTGGTCTCGTTCAGTGAGTACCTAACTGATTCCTCTGTGCGAACACAGCCACAACAAACTGACGGCATTTATCGAGCTATCTTACTCTATGATTTTGTCTTGACGCTCTCAATTGAGATACAATATTTCTGGCGACGCAGAATGTCCCTCGTCTCCATATTGTTTCTCTGTAACCGATATCTAACAATGATTGGGGAAATTCCGCGTGCCCTCGAGGCCTTCAAGTACTTCCCTGAGGAGGTGGGTTCAGAGTCCTTGATTTTTCGACCCTTGTCTTGATCATACATGGCATGATAGCGGTCAGCTTGTCGTATGTCATCATCCTGCTCGTTTATAATGAGACAAGTAGGTGTCGCCTACTACGCTCCTTCGACTACTCCTTTTTGTTGCTCTCACAAGGTGCCGTCACATGTGAGTACATTTACGATATTGTTTAACATAACGTTGGTTTAAACCCTCGCGCCTCCGGTCCGGTGAACAAGTATTGTTGGGGGTCAGGACCTTCGCTCTCTACGAACGCAGTAAGAGGATACTCATCCTACTTATGATCATATATGCAATCTTGATCACTGTCGCCGGGGTAAGCCTCTGGGACCTATCCCGACGCTAACTCTAATTTATACGCCTGTGTACTCTAGTGGGCGGTCCTCACAAATTACGTATCTCGTGATAGTGATGAAATTGGGATAACCATCTGGCCAGATTGTAATATCGCGTTTACTTTGCAGCAGTACGTATTCATCAGTTTCTTTGGAACGAGTCTTTGTTCATCATACTCGCAGAAGCTATCGTAAGCTCATTCGCACCTCTCGATGTCCTGACTTGACCCTGTCTCTTGATCAAGGCTTTGTGGGTGCCTGGGGAGCTGAGATCCTTTGTGACGTCGTAGTTTTTGTCCTGACATTGCGTAAACTGACAAGCGTTGCGCGGGTATGGACGGGAAGCCTTTCCGAAATCATGCTCTGGGATGGTTAGTCGGCCTCGTGTTTCTGGGCCGCACTGATATTTGCTTAGCGGTTTTATACTTCGGAGTATTGGTTATACTCTACACATTGAACATCGTAACTTTCATCGTACGTTATTGTTTCCATGACGCTAGTTGCATCTCGGATATTAACCATCACATTAGTTCGCTCCTGTATGTCTTTCGACAGTGATCATCTGAACATATCAGCCTGATTTTCCTCCAGCCAACGGCGAAAGGGTCACTCGCGTCATTGACGAATACGTGAGAATGTGTGGCCCATTTCCTATGTCAATTTATGTCTTACCGCAACAATATCTATTCACCGCAGGGTCTCAAGCACACTTGTCGCCAGGATGATGCTCAACATTCGGCTTAAAAGCCATGGGAAGGGCCATCTATCATCATTGGCAGATTTCGATCTAGCAGAAGATGGCCCTGCTCTCAAAGAGCAACACAATGGAGATGTGTGCTAAATCTTTCGGTGTAAAAGAGTCATACAAAGCTATACGTATATACCAACTGGTTGAACCACTGCATGGCCTGACATGGTCTGAACTCACACCGGAATACTTAGCTGATTTCTGCGGCGAGTTACAGGTAATTACGGTCGTTCACCTAACACTCGTGCTGATCCTCTGTAGTTTTATATGCGCCCCTGTGTGCACTCGATCTGCATAGAATATCAAGTATGCCCATCGTAGATACTACACCGTCGTCTGCACGCCGAACCACCTAGCCACTTACGGTGATGATATAAGGGCTCGTTTTAAGCGGTGCCGATCGAGAGCACCCCGGACAAGTATCATACCTCCTATCTCTACCAACAGGAATTATACCGTAGAGTTAGAAAATTGTTACTACCTACGCCAGAGGTACCTACAATACTATCCACTATACACGACGGATATCCTACATAAAATTTACAGCAGTTTGTATTCCGACCTGTTTGTGCCAGACGGTTTGTTGGAGCGGCGGCAATCACAGCAGACTGTTTGCGTGAAATTGCGTCGATATCGAGGCTATATCGGAGCGCTATTTCGCTCGCAAAGTACAGAGATTTTACTCACCCCATGGCTCTTACGTGCTGTATGTCTTGCGTATACCACACACAAACAGTGAATTGTGCATGCCTTCGATACATAACTAGCACAAACGTGATGCAACAGCGCAATAGCGCTCATGACTCAGTCCCCTAGCTGTAGCATCATCTTCAGAAGGTGACGTGCCTACGCTTGGTCACGACAACTGTTGTGGGTCAGCGACAGGGAATTATATCACTCCAGCGCGTGACTTACGTTTCAGGGGCCATACACTCCCGAAACCGTGCAGTAGGACGGGTATGGCGGATCAGCATACCAGTTCGAGTAAAGGAACGTCTCGGTGATGATCTCCGTGCCTCTGGTAGAGAACACCGTAGTTGTCGCAATGGGAGGGAGCGTCTCGGTTTGGGTGATCGTCGTCGTCTCGTACACCCCAGTCGTCGTGGGTGCTACGATGTTGAGGGTCTGGGTGAACGTTGTGGTCGCCACGTAGGGGCATCCTGGCTGGGGGGCATCCTACGATAATAACGGCCGATGAGCGAGATGCGCGTACACAAACACTCTATGAGCACTCACGCGTCTCTGGGGAACAGCTGAGGCAAAGCTGAGGCTTGACAGAGCGAGCACTGCGCCCACGATGAACTGGCGGACAGACATGTCGAGAATTGGTGAAGCACGCGTTGTAAAGAATTGAAATTTCTCGACAAGGCTTTGCTTGTAAGTACGAGTCTTATAAACTATGCGGCCGCTACCTGCAGATGAAAAAGCATAGCAAGGATCCATCATCATACCCAGTCATGGTGGATGACGGGGATCATGTAAGTAGGTATACGCCGAGATCACCGAAGGATTGATACCCGTTGTGGTGTAAGGGTCATTTCCTAAAACAGAGATGCTGCACGTTGTCGATCTTCGGTAGGAGCAGATCTTTCACACCGGCTCACCGAAGGACTCACAGCCAATTTAAATCTCGATCCTAAAACAAGCAATATGCGCTTCTGCGGTGTGTGGTACAGTCAGCACCTATGTTGGAGCAGCGTGGAGACTTGATCTAGCTCACGAGATGTGACAGTGAAACAGACGATGTCGGGGACCTCGACCAGCAGAGGCTATATTCTCCCATGGTGTAAGGAGCATTTGACAAGCATTGGAATATCATGGCAGACAATTTGGCCCTATATAACAGCGTCAGAACTGCGATGCAGCTTGCAGTCCCATGGTAAGACTTCTCTTCGTAGTAGATTGAATATCGTGGCCCAGTGCATCGTCAGCGTATCACGGACACCGCGCAGTGAATATAGCTCTTTGCTGCTACAACGTATTGCGCTTACGACTACCACTTCGCCTATTTTTGCGTCCTACGGGTCATTGAACAGCATCAACCGAGATTTTCTTGTGGGTGGCGATTGAAAAACGGTTACTGTTTAGATGCGTGACTTCTCAGCGTAAGTGCTCGTTCGCATGACTTACGTTGCCACTGGTCATCTGACAGAGGTCGCAGGGGAGTGGTGTGTATATCCCGTCGTAGTATATGCAAGATTTCCCTTCGCACGTAGCAAGAGGTGAACGTGTCAATGCGAAGGGTAGATCATAGCGTGAATGGAGCATGGGAATGCCGGACATGGCAGACGATCTGTCTGACGGATACGGCATTGTGCTTATTTCACTGAAAACGGCATGACGGACTCGGAAGATAGGCAAAAACTGAGTTGAAGACACCCCAAGGCTCGGGCTAGCTGCGGGTTCGTGACACACGTAGATCCTGCGATGGTCTCCCGATTATTGTAAGTTCGCTACTTGTGGCATGAGGTTCCACAAGACGCAATAAAGAAAACGCGACAACTGCCGAGCAGCATTGTTGCAGAGTCAACGAGGGCACAATGATGTAGGGATTGGCTTCAAAGTGCATGCGGGTCCGCTAGCGGTGTGTACAGGAGCGAGTACATAGAACACTCGCTAAGCGCTCATAGAGGCGCATCACAAATGAATACACCCGACGATCGATCAGCGTGATCGGCGGCGTGGTACTGGAGCCTCACCGTCCGATAAGGAAGACTACAGTACGTCCCACATACTAGACCCTGAAGCTGAGGGCCTGAGCACGACACTACACAATGACCGAGAGCTACTGTCATGATACCACTGTCAAGCCCACTCATGCCCGATATTTTCATCGCCTCGGCAGTCTCATGAAGTGATGATATTCGGTGTAAAAGCCACGGCGGACTGCTGCCAAGGGAATATAAACATTGGACATGGATGCGAAACTCACTGGGAGTTCGCTTCTGGTCCGACCCTTGGATCTAGTTCAAGAATACTGTACCATAGTCGTTGCTACTTGCTCAAGCTTGCCAGGCCGAGCCTATAGTTTCCGATTACCGTGACATAACTCAGATTTTTTGCCTCCCACTCGGAGCAGTGTTTGAGGCGGGTGTGAACGGCGGTGGTCCCGTGAGCGCAGCCTCGCATCGAAACGGGCCGCCTAACAGACGCCCGCCACGACCTAAATGGTCGATGCGGCGGGTCGGGAGAGGGCGGAATGATAATAGCATGCTATACGAAGACCAGTGAATCACTCACCGAACGTTATGAATAACTGCTAGCCAGAGGCTAGATAGGCTCTGTCTGGGGCCTAGACACCAATAACAGCCTACTAGGGCCTCTGCAAAATGAGACACCAGAGCACTCTGGAGCCAGCGTTCAACGGAAGGGAACACTGCGAGAGCGGCGGTCCCAGCCGACAAATAGACGGTGAGACTGCGGGAATGGGCCCAGGCAAATGTTCCCATGCCTTTGCGGCGTCTGTCGTCGTCGAAAGTCGCGTTCCTTGGCGCGACGGGTTGATGGCTTCCCAGTTGAGGCGGAGGCATCCGAATCCCGGGCGGGGTCTGTCGTGAAATCCCGGAGCGCGTCGTGGGCGGAAGAGGCAAACGGAGGACGACGGGCGCCGTTTCTGCGCGTCATGGGTTGATTGAATGCGGTCATGCACGTCTCGGCATCTCGGCACCTACCCAGGAGCAACTCGGGACCCACGTGCTATGACCGAATGTGGGCGCACTCAGGATGTTCGCCATCTGGAAGTGCCTCCTCCGTTTTCGTGAATATAAATGGACGCGGTCAGCTGCTATCAAGCTCCACCATCCACCCTCTCATCCCGCCTTCTCCCCAAAACTTGTTCCTCGTCGCCCACACCATGTTCAGCAGACTTGCCACTCGCTCCGTCGCGACGTCCTCTCGCACCTTGACCCGGCCCGCGACCCAGTCGTGGAACCGCGGCATGAAGGTCGGTATTCGCAATCCTTGACATCTGCATATTCTGACCATCCAAAAGGTTCTGGCGATCCTCTACCGTGGCGGTGATGCTGCAAAGCAGGAGCCGCGTCTGTTGGGTGCAGTCGAGAACGAGGTATGCTTTCCAGTGCATATGCGCCCAATACCAACTTATCGGGGCTGTGTTTCTGTAGCTTGGCTTGCGTCAATGGCTCGAGTCTCAGGGCCACGAATACATTGTATGTTCCTTGTCGTCCTTCGCCTTGGGTTTCCGCATAGTTGACCAGGCCATGTTAGGTCTCCGACAGCAAAGAGGGCCCCCAGAGCGACCTTGCCAAGCACATCAAGGATGTAAGCCGAGTCCATGCAGCTGAATACCAATATAGTACTTACAAAATATCAGGCGGAGGTTGTCATTACCACCCCCTTCCACCCGGGTTACCTCACCCGCGAACTCATTGACACGGTGAGCAGTTTTGCCGGATATATCCCGATGTCACGGATTTAATTCACCTTATTCTAGGCCAAGAACTTGAAAGTCTGTGTCACTGCTGGTGTTGGTTCCGACCACGTCGACCTCAACGCCGCGGTCGAGCGCAAGATCCAGGTCCTCGAGGTTACGGGCTCGAATGTCACCTCCGTCGCTGAACATGTCGTCATGAGCATCCTCTTGCTCGTCCGAAACTTCGTCCCGGCGCACGAGATGATCGAGCGTGGTGACTGGATGGTATCCGAGGTTGCTCGCAACGCCTACGACCTGGAGGGCAAGGTCGTTGGTACCATTGGTGCTGGTCGTATTGGCTACCGTGTTCTCGAGCGTCTGATGCCGTTCGACACGAAGGAGCACCTGTACTACGACTACAACGGTCTTCCTGCTGGTTTGTGTTCTCCTTGTTGCGGAAAGTAACACAAGTACTGAAATCTTTGCAGAGGCGGAAGCGAAAGTGAGGGCCCGTCGTGTTGAGGACCTCAAGGACATGGTCTCTCAATGTGACATCGTCACGGTGAATGCGCCGCTCCACGAGGGTACTCGTGGCCTTGTCAATGCGGACCTACTCAAGCACTTCAAAAAGGTCAGCATGCGTTCGAATGCATATTCAGGTCTCTGTACTGACCTTCCATGTAGGGTGCTTGGCTGGTCAACACCGCCCGTGGCGCGATTTGTGACAAGGATGCCGTCGCGGCAGCCCTCAAGAGCGGCCAGCTCACCGGTTACGCTGGTGACGTCTGGAATGTACAGCCCGCGCCCCGCGACCACGTCTGGCGCACGATGAAGAACTCGCTCGGCGGTGGTAACGGCATGGTCCCGCACTACTCGGGCACGACCCTCGACGCTCAGGCGCGCTACGCGGCCGGAACACGTGAGATTCTCGAGAACTACTTCACGGGCAAGGCGCAGACGCCTGCGAACATCATTGTCGGTGTTGGCAAGTACGAGACGAAGGCGTACGGCCAGCGGTGAACGACTCTGTGTGACGCGTACAGCATAGGCGCGATGGACTCTTCGCTATCGACACTTGCATTGTAGAATAATTAGCACACACCGTGACCATTCATGTAATTTTCATCGACTTTGAGCAAATCACATATGATCGTCCTGTCTTGTCCATCTTGTTGTGAATTGCGGGAATATTTCGGCTCTAGTTTGAACGGCAGGATGTCGTGAGCGTTGAGTTCAGCTAGGCTGACGGTGCCGAGAAGAAAGTAGAAAGCTTAAGGCCGAAGGAATGCAGCAAAAGCTATCGTGTCAAATGATTGACAGTGAGGCATCGGCGGATGAACTTGGCAGTCTGAAACAAACTCACTGTCTGAGTGAGGGTAGGACGGTCGCCACGCACGGCACCGTCACATCCGACTATCGACGGAATGAGCGCTTAATCCACTGAGATCTTGAGATTCAGATATGAGATTTCAGTGAATCGTTACTGCCATTAGGATTCCTCAGGCTCAGACTCCATACAACATAGGTACAAGTAGAACGTAACCAAGCCACGGGTAGCTCCTTACAGCGTGTTCTGCGCCCTCGTCCAAAATCGCACAGCGAAGTACGGCTCGCGCAGTGCCAATGCCCTACAAGTTTCGGCCTTCGGGCAGACTCAAAGCGACGGCTCGTAGGGAGCATCGTGCCACGTCCATTCCTCGCGCGGGGTTTCAGTGAGTCGAATTACTCTTTCTGGCTCCTCTTTCTCCAGTCAATATGCCCTGGTTCGGTCATGCTGTTGCACGATGCGAAACTGAAGCCGAATGCTCAAGGTAATTCATGGGAATGCCACAGTACTGTTAAGGAACATCGTCAATCACGAGAGGCGGCGACATCCGGCGTGTGGACAAGATCAGTCTGCTCGAACTTTAAGAGACAGGACGAGACCGTTTAAGGTCCCCGTCGTTCCCGGTCCACGCAGCCTTTCCTCCGAGTGGGCCGACGGCCAACAAATGCCTGACATCGGCGAGATGCCCTGCCTGCGATTGACCACAGGACCGCACCCGTCTCCTGCCGCTCGCTACGATGCCGCCACCTCCCGCTGCTTCGGCGGTCCAAACCTGCCTCACCATCGAAGCGGACGGTGCGACGCGTTGTCACAAAATCCCTCCCCACGGCGCTCTACGATGCCGGATGCATCAGAAACAATATCGCACAATGACTAAACGATACAAGGATGCATCGAAGATTGTTGACGAAATGGAGACTTCAGAATTACCGACATTGTCCCAGATAGCCACGTATAATGGCCTAGCTGAGACGAAAAGGAAGGCATCCTGGATGCGACGATATGCGGAGGCCATTCGCGTCGAGAAGACAGGGCGAGAGGTTCATTCGAAGCGGTTTTTCTTGAAAGGTTAGTGATACTATGCTTACTTTTAGGAACACATGGTCTTACCTGTTCTATACCAATCCCGTGGACAGTGGACAGTGGACACAAGATACGCATCAAAGTGCTTGCTAAGAAGATGATCGAAGCATTCGAAATATTGGATGCCTTGCAAGCGCGGGTGTTCGATCTCCAGTATGCTCAGGATCCAGCCTATGATTGGATCAAGGAATTCCAGAAGGGGCGTGAGAGCAGGAATGTGGACGATGAGGAAAGCGATTCGGTATCGCTGTCGACCGTACTGGACCGATCCAAGGATAAGGCAGGACAAGCTATCGTGATACCGGCGGAAGAGACTGATGATGATGATCCAATCGAACTCTTCATGCGAGCGTGAGTGCATCTACGTCAGGAATGATCACTTACTGAGTCCTTATCCCACAGCGAGAAGCGGGCGTATCTTCGAAAGTATGATTTCCTCCGCGGCAGCAGAGAGCGCTGGATACAACATACTCTCTCCGAGGAAGATTGCACTGACCCCCACTATCTGCGCCGAGTGAACATCCAGCTAGACACCTTACTACAATACACGCGGCGCATCATTCTGAATGATCCGGTACTTTTGCTGAAGGCTGAAGGCAAGGTGTCGCTGAATGACATGTTCCTGGATCCAAACTTCTCTGCAGAAGACTTCAAGCGACTCGAGGAAGGACAGGGTCTTCTCCGGAGCTCAGGGATGATTTGGTGGAAGGATGCAACACTGGAAGCAATTGCAATGTGGCCAGAGGCAGGGAAGAAGAGTACTGCAGCTAACCTTGGTGACCTCAGCAAGTCGATCATCTCTTCTCTGCCGTGCCGAATTCCTCATCATGCTTTTTTGTGCGACTCAGAGGATCGTTTCAAAATTCTCGATGGGTGGGTGTTTAAGAGTCGCCACACTCGTGAAATGAGCAATGAGGCTTGGTGGGTGCGTGATGGTCCTAATGCTATCATTGGAATGTCAAGGTTGACGGTGATACATGGCTAGTACCTGCTTGACGCGTTGCATCCTCCCTCAAACATCGAGAATCGATTTATGCATCTGTGCAACGATTTCAATGACCTGCAGACATTCCTCTCTTTCGGAGCACTCGGCATGTACCCAGCCCCAAGCTTTTGCGAAAAACAAGGGGTTGAATCATATCGAGCCCACCTTAGTATGTGTGGGGTTGTGGTCGGTGATTGCGTCAATGGGGTCTCCCCCACTTTCCCTGGCCCGCTCCCGACGACTAAGCCCGCATCCCGACGCGATCTCATTACCTGGGGAGAAGTGAACTGCAGAGTCTATATGTTTGGAGCCGTGCGCGACGATGCCGACACGTTCACGCGAGCATTTCTTAAGCAGCTACGTCTTCGCCCAGATAGGTTCCTTGTCCTCACACGCTCTGAGTCGGATCCTGGTCAGCAACTCGAACAATTCGGAGGTGCGGCAGACGAGATATTCTATCAACTACGCATGCGGACGTTTGAAGCTCCGATGGCGGCGATACATAACCCGCCTGCCGGGCACGGCCCCTGGAATGTCACAAGGTCCGGCAGAGATGTTCTGTATGGCAGCGGCGATCCGGTGCAACTAGGGGACAAGAATCTACCTGGAATGAAAGGATATCTTACAGAGCTGACAACTCCGAAGAACGAAGGCTGGCTGTTCTGGCTCAAGAAGGACCGTTTCAAGGTGAAGTACTTCGTCATTTTGAGTGCGAAGCCACAAGGCGTTGTGAAGGACCTTGTGAGGGATGTGGCATGGGCGGCGCTGTGTGCAGCAGGGTTTGGTCGAGGTACTTACACGGCTAGAAAGTACATCAGGGCAGCGGACGCACTCGGTCGCCAGCGGACCTCCCAGCTGTTGAGCTGGATGCCACCGAGTGTCTTATCCTACGAGTTCCAATCAATCGAGGAGCGACTAAAGAAGGAAGGGCTGGAATGGTTTTTGGATTTCTCGGAGCAAATGGGTGTGGATGTGTAGGTGGCAATTGGCAGCTGTATCCGATCTTGGTAACTCGCGGTAGAGTGATGCATGTAGCACGATGGAGTTTTTCACCGATATCCACGCAGCGCTGAAAGTTTCCCATAAATCATAAATCGCCTTCTAGTGCACGCCTGGTTTTGCCGTCGATTCTGAACTGACAGCGAATGAGGAGCATTAGCACACGTGATCGCGTTGAATGTGTCGCGTCCGACTCGCGCTGAGCGCGGCTGAGGCCCGCATCTCTGGGTCGACGTAGCTTTGTTCCTCCTTTGATGGCCAGCAACTTCTATTCCTGCAGAGGCCCACTTCAAACATACCTTATTGCAGTCCCAATTAGAAATTTCAGTTCTGATGTTGTCATCTGCTGCGGTACCACTTAGCGGAGCAGCTCGATTCTAGCCATGACCGAAAGGTGATTTCAAGCGATGGTCAGCCCACTTGACGGCTGACTGCGGGCTGACCATGGGCACCGGTATACAATATGTACTGCTACACTACTCACAACTTATGCAAGCCATGAATACTCTAGTTCTTAAACCGGTTACGTTTTCTTTTATATTTTCCTCTGCGATGTTCGCACTCGCTGCCTGGCGCGGCTTCTCCGTCCTTGCTCTTGGTGTGTGTTCTCGTGCTGGTCAAAAACACTACCTGGTGTCTGTCAACCTCGATGTCATCCTCTTGGCAGCAATGCTCGATGGTATCTTGTGTTCTGTCTGGTCCTCCTACGCAACGCCGGTCGGCGGTGGGTCAGAGACCGCTCAGTCCTGGTGGCTGAGCTGGGCTCTGGCTATCGCCGTCGCCGGCAGACTCACTGGCACTCTCCTGTCCACCCTACTCGGTCGCCAATGCGACTCGGAACTACTGGCATATAAACGATGGGAATTGATTCTCGTGGTATGTCGCTCGTCGTAGTCAGCCGCGTGGATGCTAAGGAAGACCCGGTACAGGCCAGGAAGTGGAAGCTGACGGTCCATCGGTTTGGTCTGCTTAGCGAGTCTCCCTTGATGGTCGAGACCGCGGCGGTGAAAACGATTGGCTACAGTTCCGAAGAGAAAGGTAAGCAGAAGGTACGACAGGAACGGCCTTCGGACAAGGACTGGAGAGCACTGGATCGTCGGGAGACTCGACTGAAGGACAAGACGAAAGCGCTACAGCAGCGGATCGGTCGGAAGATTGGGCAGTACCGCGAGACCATTGGCGGGCTCGAGGAGAAACTCCGGTCGAAAGACCTCTCCATCGTATGTACTCAGTCTTATACGCCGATCGACCTATGCGGCTGACTATCGTTGCAGGAGACACTCAGCGCACAGCTCAGGAAGCTGGGTGCTGAGGCAGGCCATGAGGCGGAGAAGCTCAAGACTGATCTGGCAACACGTAGCGTGGACATTGTAGGTGCATGCGGATAGAAACATCGCTGG